CTTCCACGAAATGTTCTTAGAACATTTCTGGTTGGGACCGTCTTGCTCTAACGCATCGGGTTTGCGTTCTAAGAACAACGTTTTGGTTCTGAGAACATTTTGGGGCTCTGAGCACACTTCGTGGTAGGCCTATAGCAATGCCTGGGCGGTCGGCCCCTGTGCAACTTAGACTGCAGGTTGAGCTCGGGGCGTTGGCATCTCGTTGGCGCATTTTCAGTCCGTCGCCGCTTGGCTCAGGGCCCGTTCCCAGGGTGTACCGTTAAGTCGGGCCTGTCTTTCTACAATCCCAAAAGAGTCAAAAATAGTTTGGGGTGTTTTTTTGAATATTTTTGACCATATTATATGTTTTTGCGTTTTTTCCCTACCTAGGCTCTGCCTAGAAGGGTTTTTTTTACTCGGTTTGCTTCAAGGGGCCGGGCAGTGGGCCTCGCCCCGGGCGGTTTCCCCAGGATCCGCCCCGCGGTTCCCCCAGTTACGTCCCCTTAGCTTAGCGTTGCTTATCTCATCTTAGCTTGGCCTAGCTTAGCTTAGCCTAGCCTAGCCTAGTTTAGCTTCGCATAGCATAGCTTAGCTTAGCCTAGCCTGGCTTAGTTTAGCTTAGCTTGGCTCAGCTTAGCGCAGCGCAGCATTAGCATAGCATAGCATAGCATAGAATAGCATAGCATAGCATAGCATAGCTCATCATAGCATTGCGCATCATAGCATAGCATATCATATCATAGTATGTGCTATGCTAAGCTAAATTAATGCGAATGCGAAAACATGCGTGTGTGTGTCTGTGCGCAGGCAAAGCAAAAACAACATCAAGCAAAAGCAACAACAAAAGCAAATCAACAGCAAAGGCAACAGCAAAAGCAAAGGCAAGGCATTGCAAAGCAAAAGCAAAACCAATGCGAAAGTGTAGATGTAGATGTAGACGTAGGTGTAGGGGTAATTGTGGATGTAGGCGTAGATGTAGATGTAGATGTAGGTGTAGATGTAGGTGTAGATGTAGATGTAGATGTGAGTCTCGCTGTTGATGTCGATGTAGATGTAGATGCATGTGTAGATGTGAATGTAGCTGTCGGTGTACATGTAGATGTTGCGTTCCTAGATGCTCGAACTCCTAGGTAGGGTCGCACTGGGATAATTTTGTAAAACAAAGAATTCGTCGAAAATCCCCCTGTAGGGGGACGCGCCCGACTTAAGTGTACCGGCTGGCCGGCTCCTGGCCAGAGCTCGCGCCTCTCTCGCCTCCGCGGGCGTCGATCGCCGGCGGACATGCCGGCCCGCCCCGCCCCACAGCGCGGCTCGTGGGCCTGCTGCGGTCTGGTCGCGCAGGGCGGCCTGGTTCAAGCAGTGGCGAAGCGTCCCAGCTCGCATATGAGGCCCACCGAAGACTGTTTCTAGGAACCTCTTGTGGTCTGCGCGACGAGATGTTCTTAGAACATTTCTGGCTGGGAGTGTCTTGTTTGGGCACATCGGGATCACGTTCTAAGAGCATTGTTTTGTAATCAGAACATGTTTGGAGCACTTCTGGGTTCTAAGAACCTCTCGAGGTAGGCCTATAGGAATGCCTGGACGGTCGGTCCCTGCTCAACTGGTGGCGACGAGCGGCGTGCTGCGGCTGGTTGGCGCAGCGGGGCGGTGGGCGTTGGTTCTAAACCGACCGAAAGCCTCGGGCTCCCGGTCCGCCGAAGAGGCTCCTGGATCAGGCCGTCGGACCGCCGCAGCCGTCGAGGCCGCTGGAGTCGTCGAGGTTTTTGCGGCTGCTCGGGCCATCGAGGAGACAGCTTGAGGAAGCCTCGCCGCCGAGACCAGCGCAGGGGCAACAGGCGGGAGTAGGATACCGCCAGGGGGGGCCGCCCACAACCCCAGGCCGCCGGGGCCGCCGACGCCGGCCCCGACAGCCCCCGGGAGTTTCAGCCAGGAGGGAGGCCACGCTGGCTGAAAGTCGGCGCTCCCCCGGCGGTCCCCGGCAGCCCCCAGGAGTTTCAGCCAAGACGGAGGCCATGTTGGCTGAATGTCCGCCCTCCTGCAGCCATGGGCGGCCCTGGCGGCGGCCCTGGCAGCGGGCCAGAGCGATTCTGGGCCCGCGCGGCCGGCCGGCCAGGCGTCCAAAGGCCGGCCGCGTCGCGGGAATCCGCTGGGCGGGACTGGCAGGCTCCACCCTGCAGGAGGCGAAGCCGCTGACAGCGCAGCCGACTCCAGGGGGGGCGAGTCCACGTGCAGGCCAGGCGCGCGACTACGGGGAGAAGGGGGCCAGGCCCAGAGGAGGAAGAGGAAGAGGACGAGGACGGAAACGTAGGATGCGGAGGGCGACGTGGGGCAGAGAACCGCGCTGACAGCCGCGCTGGCAGCAGCGCTGACTGCGTCACCGTCAGCCCCGCTGGCAGCGGCGCCGAAAGCTTCACGAATAACTGCGGCGCCGACAGCCGCGCAGACCGCGGCGCCGGCGGCCCCGCCGACAGTTGCGCCCACAGCGGCGCCGGCTGGGGCACCGACTGTGGCACCGCCGACAGCTGCACCAACTGCGTCGCCGACAGCTGCGTCGACAGCCGCGCCAGCGCAGATTCGCCAGCAGCTGCGACAATCGCGGCACCGACAGCCACGCCGACAGTGTCGCGGACAGCGGCGCCAACTGCGGCTCTGACAGTACCTCCGAGGCACCGACCGCGGCACCGACAGTTGCGCTTTCAGCGCCGCTGACAGCGTCGACAAGGAGGTGAACCTTAGGGACGTGCCCTTGGTGGGGGTCCCGGTCGGCTGGTTCGACCTG